CTCTGCCGTCTCTGCGTCTCTGCGTCTCTGCGTCTCTGTGTGTGTCTCTGTGTGTGTCTCTGTGCATGCTGTGTCTCATGTGTCTCTCGGTGTCTATTGTGTCTCTTTGTGCTCTCTCTGCTGTCTCTCTGCTAGTGTCTGTCTCTCTTGTCTACGTTGCTCTCTCTTGTCTCTCTGTCTCGTGTCTCTGTCTCTGTCTCCTCTGCTCTCTCTCTATCTATCTCTCTCTCTTCTCTCTCTTCTCTCTCTCTCTCTCTCTCTCTCTCTCTTTCTCTCTCTCTCTCTCTCTCTCTCTCTGTCTCTCTCTGTCTCTCTCTCTCCTGTCTCTTCTTTCACGCGTAGAACATTATAGTATAATAGTTTGTTTTGGCATGAAAATCCTCGCCGCCACTGGGCCTCCCTACTTTCCCGCCCTTCATCCTCGTCCCGCTCCCCGCCCCTCCTTTCCCGTCCTCCCGCTACCCCGCCGTACCCCGCCCCCTCTACCTACTCATTGCGAACTCTAACATGTACAAACTACAGCAGGTTACGTAGATCGGTTGGTTGTGACTGGCACGCGCAACCAGTTATAACATGGGTCTCATGACCGGTAGCTACGTTAGTTCCTAGACTGGGAATTCTCTCGGTACAAGTACATTTACTTAGTGATAAGCAGGGACATGCACAGGCTTGCTGTCTCTTAGAATGGAAAACGCCCAACGTTGCCATCTAAGTATTTGCTAGATCACATGCTGGTTGGTGGGAGTACACCACAAAGTCTTCATACTCCAACCGTTCTACAAGCGCTGGTATAAACGGTATGTGAAATTCTCTCTCGCTTTTATTTTGCACGTGCTAGAAGCACAAATTCGCAAGTACTAGAACAGGTCTTTAATCTTAGTCGTAACAGTGACCCATGTAACTAACCACCTGTTTATTATAATGGTCCCCTTGTTGCATTTACACATTAGTAACTACCGATATTGGCGTTCGCTCCACCTGTGGTGAAGCTATGTGGCTTTGCTGGTAGGCCCATAGTAACTGCAGCTGTTAAAGCCGCACAATGCGCATCCAAACGCTAATTTCTCCAGTACTTACTAGACTAGCAAATACTTCGTGTCATGCATAATCACACTATTACCTCGTAGTTATATCATCAGATCAGGAGTGAATATTAATAGATCATTATCTATATTCTATTAATCTATTATTAATCTATTATTCTATTATTATTCACTCTTGATCACATTATACGTATGTTGTTCTCTGTAGCAGCAGGACAACTTGACCCGGACAGTGTTACACAACCTGCTACATTGTTCCGACCATTGCCTTGGTCATGTTGAGACACCTGGTGGCAGCACTGTTGCTGGCAGCGAGCGGCAACGCGCGGCTGTCTCCGTTCTCGGCGCGCTTTCCGACCCGCGTGCCGCCGATGCTGGAGAACAGTGGTGACCCTGGTGAGGCTCTCTTCCTCACGCCGTACATCAAGAGCGGTCAGCTGGACAAGGCGCGCGCTCTCAGCCGGGTCGGGCCGCTGCCGTCACCGCCGCCCACCAGCCCTCTCAGCTACAGCGGCTTCCTCACCGTCAATGAGAAGTACGACAGCAACATGTTCTTCTGGTTCTTCCCGGCGCTCGAGCGGCCCGACGCCGCGCCCGTGCTGCTCTGGCTGCAGGGCGGCCCCGGCGGCTCGTCGCTCTACGGGCTCTTCTGCGAGCACGGGCCGTTCGTGGTGGACGCGGCGCTGCGGCTGCAGCCGCGCGACGTCGCCTGGACGCGCCACTACTCGGTGCTGTACGTCGACAACCCCGTCGGCACGGGTTTCAGCTTCACGCGGCACGACGCCGGCTACGCACGCACGCAGCGCGACGTCGCCGCCGACCTTTACGAGGCACTGCGGCAGTTCTTCACGCTGTTCAGTGACTTCCGCGCGCGCGACTTCTACGTGACGGGCGAGTCGTACGCGGGCAAGTACGTGCCCGCGATCGCCTACGTCATCGATCAGCGCAACCCGTCCGCCGACACGCATATCAACCTGAAGGGCGTCGCTATCGGCGATGGACTCTGCGATCCGGTGACGATGTTCGGCTACGCTGACCTGCTCTACCAGGTGGCGCTGGCCGACGAGCGGCAGCGCGAGCACGTGCGCGTGCGGACGGACGCGGCGGTGGCGCTGATCACGCGCAAGCTCTACCGCGATGCGTTCCTCGTCTTTGACGCGCTGCTGAATGGCGACCTCACCCCGTACCCATCCTACTTCTACAACATCACCGGCTCGACGAACTACTTCAACTACCTGCTAAGCACTGCCGATGACGACGACGCACACTTCTATGGCTACCTCGCGCTGCCCGCGACGCGACGCGCTGTCCACGTGGGGGCGCTGCCGTTCAACAATGGCACGATCGTCGAACAGCATCTAGTTGACGACATGATGCAGAGTGTGAAGCCGTGGGTCGCGCACATCATGGACCGCTACAAGGTACTCATGTACAGCGGCCAGCTGGACATCATCGTCGCAGCAACGCTCACCGAGAACTTCCTGTGGAGCGTCGAGTGGCGCCACCAGAGAGACTACCACCGAGCGGACCGCACCTGGTGGCGAGTAAACCCCAACGACACCGAAATCGCTGGATATGCCCGCCAGGTGGAGCAGTTCTACCAGGTGGTCATCCGCGGCGGCGGTCACATGCTACCCCACGACCAACCGGAGAGAACATTGGACATGCTTAACCGATTCATTACAGATTCTGGGTTTTCTAATTAGGACACGCGTCGAAAGCTATATCTAATTCTGCCTGCATGGATAAGTGCGTAATGCCCCATGTATTGAAATGCATATCTAATACACCATATAGTGAAATGCATATCTGCTACCCATGTATTGATAGGTATATCTAATACACCAGATATTGATAGGTATGTATACTATGTATTGGTGCGTAGATATATATATATATATATATATATATATATATATACATTATACGCTATAAATGACGAGTATATATTATATAAACAACGTATTGATGATATGCGTTATAAATCGTGCACTGCATGTATGGACAATGAATACTACAATAAAAAGTTTAACTGAAAAACCGTGTGCGTGTGTTCATGTGTATATATATAAAAATATGGCATTGGTATCTACCTCTAATAAACCACGCATCGTTGAATGCATGCATCATCGCATACGCGTAATAAACAATGATTCCATGATGTGATGGATCGTGAATTATTGTAACAGTAATAAATGGTGAAAACGTGAAAAAAGATCGCGTTTTTATGTTTTCTGGTTTTCATGTTTATTGCATCTTTGCTCGTGGATTGGTTTTCACAAGGACTGACAGACGTCAAACCATATGCAATTTTAATTATGCTTTTAATTGAAAATTTAATGGATAGTTGTTCATTATCAATTTATTCCTAAAGCTGAGAAGCCGGTGTTAAAATGCAGCACCTTTGAATCAAGCCATTAATTTTTATGCATTGCTTTGTTAGACATTTATGGTAAAGTATTTCATTCTCACGGCTTTATAATGCGACTATTCAGTGAATATATCCTGCCACGTGACTGCTTTTTCTGCTCTAATGCATACCTGTTGGCTCCTTATGCGTCCCTGTAACATTTGATTGAACCATAGCTCAGCATGCACAATACACGAGTAGCTGTGGGATTCATAATGTTGATGAAATCTAATAATCAACCCTGGATTTTTCATCGTGCGCTTTATCTTTACTGTAAGTCACGTGAATTTGTGACTAGCCCTCTAGCCAACGCTCACCTCATCGTGCTTTGCCTAATAAATATTTGTGTTGTATTACGTGGCTACAATCGTGCCAGACAAACACAGATTTATATAACAAGGAAGTTTAAATGGGTTCAGTCAATCTTTGTTTGTGTTGACAGAGAAAACACTGCTAACAAATGTGCTGCACTGAGTTGTGAACACTTTACACCTATATGTTATTGTAAGAATGCCACATGACTAATGAGTAGTGAATCGGTTATTTCATGATGCCAGCGTAATACCATTTCCTGTTCGACATCATTAACAACCAATGCCAAATATTAGTGCGATTGCATACGGATAGTTTTATCTGATGAACAGTGGCTATGAATGCACAAGTACAGTAGTTTGAATATGTTCCCACAATCACATAGAAAATGTCACCGTTTTTGGTGGCTATTAACACAGAGGAATGTGTAAAAACCTCCGTTGGAAGCTTACTCTTTACCTCACTGTACGCTTGATTTTCACACGACCGTATTGTTTTCTCAACAGTTGAGGATCAAGTTCCGAGATAATCTGCACGACCATTTTGAGTACCCGTCTGAGCAGAGCCTGCTAGAGGACACAGAAGGCCATGAGGACAGTAACAACAGCGATGCACCCAGGATGTACGAGTTTGGAACAGATGAAGAGTCAGCAGACGTGGAGCCACATATACAACAATCGTCTGCTTTGAAAACAACACCATCTATAGGCTCGACAAGTATGTTTTTCGTCGGTTTCACGTGCTTGTAATAATTGGTTGCTGGTTTGAATCAAAAGAGAATAGACATTCTGCGACGTATTTCGTAGCTCCTTGGTTGTCGGAGTACTTATGCAACGCGTGATTAGAGTTTCATCTTTTGTCCTTACTCCTGATATTGCATTTAAATGCTACGGCAGAAAACTGATGAAGAAACAATAATGACGTTTAGTCTCCAAAGTTATGATTTAGGGATATATTATATATATATATATATATATATATATATATGTGTTTGCTGATTATAATGGGATATAATGATGGTTATGTTGTGGTGTTTTATGACCAGACTTGGCTGCATACTATCCAACCAAAACGCATGAGTCGTATAATCTTGGAATGGAAATGTCAAGAGAGACAATGGACATCAAAGTTGAGTCACAAGAGCAGATGGCAATACTTGACGACACACAGCTGATACCTGGTACAGATGAAACAACCTGGTCGGAGTCAGCGACGAGTGATCTCCTTTTCTGATTGGACGATTGCCAAACGCAAATGCCTGTTGACTTGGTAAATTGCATAAACATTACTGTAAGGTAATTTTCAGGGCAGGGGTATATCTGACTAATACTAAATATCTTGTCCAGCGATTTTTCCAGTTATTCTACTAAATCATTTAGCGCCATTAACAGTCTTTGATGAATTATTTCTTAAATTTTGTGATCAGATCTAACCAAAAAATACTGTCTACAAAGTAAAATTCTTGCACATGCCATGTTGATTCACATTCTTTGCTGTGTTGGAAGGGAAGAAAAATACAGGAGCCACCATATGGCATATATTTTTGTCAATACTCAACTTGGCTTGTATGAATGTAAAGTATCGTTTTCTAGAATTTAACAAGCTATGTGAGTACTATGTGGCGCGGCGTTTATATGTGCCTTTCACTTGTCTCAGAGGGCGAGTCAACAAGGTATGCACTCGAATCTTGATAGATAAAAATTCTGGGTGTAGCCCAAGTCTGATATTACAGCAAAACTGTACTGCAATTTGATTCCTGATGAGTTAAGTGACTGTGATTCAATGGTAGGTCATAGCTATCAGTGTCGATAAGATGACACGTTTAAACTGTGCTTATGTCTCGCACAGATCATGGCAGTCTGGTTTGGACGCAGGACCCTCACTGCATACCATTTATACAATCCAGGTTTTTAAAACTGCTTGAAGCTGCTGTAGATATTATCAGAAGTAGATAATAGGGGATCCCCTATTATCTACTCCTGATATTATACATGGTGCTTGTATTTTTACGGGGGGCCCGACAGCACATTTTAAGGTGTGGAGCTTAGCGTTTTGATAAATCTATAAGTAAATGGTTTTTGGTAAATGTTGGTATATTTTTATGTAGGTATATATATATATATATATATGTGGAATTATGTCTGTGAACTGAATGATGTGGAATTTTTGTTACTGTCGTCTTATTTTGTACAAAAATAGTGTGTATGACAAAGAATTACACCTGAGTACGAAGTGTTCGCGCAGGTTTTAGGTATTAACCTGTTGCTCGCATGACTTGTAAATTTAAATAATGTACGGTTTGAAGACGGAAATCACAGAAGATATATTTTTATTGTCTTATGCAAACAAATATGATTTAGCTTCATTCGCATTGATAGCAATGTAGTTGGGATTGTATTATATCCAGGCGCCATGGAAGCAAGAAAACAGGTAGGCCTACTATTCATTGTGGATTTTATATTACGTGCAAATTTCTTTTATCGCTTAAACATTTCGATCTGAGACTTTCTGCTATTGGTTTTGTAATTCTTGTTGATTAGTGTTTTATGAATATTTTTTTTTAATCAAATGTGAATGCTGCATCGCCCTATCGGAGTATGCTATTATTTTCATAGCTGAACTGTTGAAAATAGGCTAACACTAGTGTTTCATAACCCGGCAGTAGCTGGGAGAAAAATCGGGTCTTTAGCATACGCATGGTTCCGGGATCCCTACTCGTGTAATATTTCGGCTGTTATCGTGTTACAAAATGGTGTAGACACGTTTCTCGAGCTGCCAGATGAGAGAGAATGAGTGTCGTATATCGGTTATGGTGTGCTCAGCAGTCGTAGCGAGCGGCCGCGATTCGGTGCGAAATAAACATAAAAGTCGTGTTCCTACTAAAATCGATATTACATGTCTGACGTTTCTATATAATCGTATAATAATGCTGCACACAGGTTAGATGATACACGGCAATTCCTGCAGGACAATAGACGTATATCTAGCTAAAATGATATAATGCGCATAGGCAACAAACAATTATATATTACGAGCGTTGATATCTAATTGATCTATTCTTGGTAACACAATAATCTATAAGGACCACATTGTACAAAAATGTCCTCATGTCATCCTTATAGCAAGGATTTTACAATAGTGGCTGCTCATTGTAACCATAGCAATGATTTCACACCAGCAGCTGCTCACTGTAACCGTAGCAACGATTTCACACTATCGGCTGCTCACTGTAAACATAGCAACGATTACACACTATCGACTGCTCACTGTAACCATAGCAACGATTGCACACTATCGGCTGCTCACTGCATGTAACCATAGCAACTATTTCACACTATCGGCTGCTCACTGTAACCATAGCAACGATTTCACACTCGGCTGCTCACTGCATGTAACCATAGCAACGATTTCACACTATCGGCTGCTCACTGTAACCATAGCAACGATTTCACACTACCGGCTGCTCACTGTAACCATAGCAACGATTGCACACTATCGACTGCTCACTGTAACCATAGCAACGATTTCACACTATCAGCTGCTCACTGTAACCATAGCAACGATTTCACACTAGCGGCTGCTCACTGTAACGTCAGGATACGTTGCAACGTCTTCTCCAGTTTCGCAGACTAAATCGTAGTAAGGCTGAGAGGGTCTATGTCCCCCAGGGTACTGCCGATACGTTTCGGGTACCCTGGTAACTATCTGCTATGCCGGACTGTACCTCGCCTATTCCACTAACGAGTCTAGGGAGTCGCCTACGCCTACTCCATAACCCTACCCCTAACCCTTAAACCCTAACCCTAACCCTAACCCTAACCATATCAGATAGTTACCAGGGTACGTTCCGGTATACCGGACCGTACCCAGGGTACGTTCCGGCAGTACCCTGGGGGACATAGACCCTATGAGCCGTACGTAGTAAGTGATATCATTCTAGCTATAATCGTTCTGACAAACGCCAACTTTATGAATAGCCTTATTCTCTAACAAATGTCAAGCCATGAACATCAGTAAACCTGCTTAGCGGGGTGGTCAAAGGTACGCGGCAGCAACCCAGGGAGAGAGAAGGGGAGAGAGAGAGAGAGAGAGATCTCGCATCGTCTCGCCATCTTGCGAGAGAAATTATTCCTAAACGCACAGTGAAACGTATATATTGACCATCTACGTAAATAATTGGAATATCGAGAGTGATCATAATTAAGGCTAGTGGATAGAATAAAACGATGTAACTGAGAGCAATTTATTTTTTCGTGTGTTAATATTCTTGTTATTTTTGTCAGCTTTATTATCTCGGTTCGGACCTCATTTTAGATAGAATTATTATTAAGCTCAGGGGTGAACAATTAATTATATGGATAAACAGTGCCGTAGCCTCTGGGGGTTGGGGCAAATGAGCAGCTGCCCCCTTAGATTTTGGAACCAAATCGGTAATAGCTGTAAATATCCCAGAAATAAATATAATAAATGCTGAAAGAATGACCACTTTAGCCTAATTGTGTGTCATGATAGCATCTATACGTTAAGAGAGGCTCTGCTCTCACCAGCTGACACTATCATGCGCACTCTATTACACGTATCACGTAGATCTGGAAGAGGGTGTCAACGACTGAGCTGTAAATAATAACAATTATATAGAAACACACACACACGCGCGCGCGCACACGCACGCACGCACGCACGCACGCACGCACGCACGCACGCACGCACACACACACACACACACACACACATACGTAGCGTTTCATATTTCCGTCTACCGCATAAAATATTCTTCGGTCTACGATATTCCCTTAAGAAACTTTCAATGCACAATCTCATGGTTGACGTACATTACAATGTGGTCGTGCTTCGTCATAGCTTTACATGTTACGTTTTCGTATCTTACGTTGCGTTTCCTTATGTTTATCTTTACGTTCTACACACCTCTATAATGAAAATTGTATAGTTACTGTCATTATTTTACTACTTTTATGCCATGATAATTATGTTGTCATATGAAAAATCATTGCATTGCTACTGTTTTCATTGAAGTAGCGTTTCATATTTTCGTCTACCCCATAAAATATTCTTCAATTTACGATATTCCCATAACAAATTTTCAATACGCAATCTCATGGTTGACGTACGTTACTATGTGGTGGTACTTCATGATAGCTTTACATGTTGCGGTTAATGTATGTTGCGTTTCTTAACATTCGGTCCTGTTTAATTAACAGTGTACAATTAAAATTTTAGGGCACTTACAGTTACAGTCAGTTTGAATAATTAAAATGCAATGAGACTGATAGCTTTTATCTGTCGTAACATTTCTCGAGCCATGCATAGCTAGGTAAATGATAATGAAATTTATGAGATTAACATTAGTTCATACATTTTACCTTACAACAAACGAGGGATGAACATTGGATATTATTAAATTTATTTACACTCGCGAAATGGCCGCCTCTGGCGGCCATATTCGCTCGTTACGCTGATGAGATTACGATGATTTCTCTAAATCCCGGCCCGATTCATAGTAATCTTTTAGTAAAATCTTGACTTGATACGAAGACAATAATACAAGGATCCTGTTACTAACATAACATTTTCTGGTATTTCCGGTATTTTCCTTTTTATATAAAACAGTTTGTACACACTTTCTAATCCATTGTTTTTTTCTTTATATAATATACAGAACCCGCTTAGTACGATTATTTTTCTTTGGCCCGTCAGTTTCGGGGTGCGACTGTAGTAATGAATAGTAGTAATTGAATGAGGAGTTTAGGCTTTGCAGTAATTGTATTTATTTGTGAACAATTTAACGCTACTAAAGTTCTTAATTATACATATAAACCTATATAAAATACCTTTGTTAATTCGGGGCTAATATATGTTGAAGTGGACTGGTTAATACGAAACCCGCTTAATACAATTATTTTTCTTTGGCCCGTCAGTTTTCTACTAACGGGGTTTGACTGTAGTAATGATTCTTGGAAAAATGTAGGCAAACGCTTCGCAGTAATGGTTTATATCCTCCGCCGCACGTAGTGTAGCGGAACGTATTGTTTTCAGCGCCGTTGGTGTGTGGTGTGTGTGTGTGTGTGTGTGTGTTGTGTGTGCGTTGCGTGCGTGCGTGCGTGCGTGCGTGTGTGCGCGTGCGTGCGGCTGCGTGCGTGTGTGTGTGTGTGTCGTGGTGTGTGTGTGTGTGTGTGTGTGTGGTGTGTGGTGTGTGTGTGTGTGTGTGTCTGTGTGTGTGGTGTGTGTGTGTGTGCGTGTGTGGTGCGTGTGCGTGTGCGTGTGCGTGTGGTGTCGTGTACCGTGTGTGTCTGTCTGTCTGTCTGTCTGCTCGAATATTTTGCAACCGTTAGAGGTAAGAGAACTTCAAACTTGGTCAGAGGTGGACTTAGGGGCGGTGGAACCCTATTGATTTTGAAGTGCCCTTTCACGCCCGGTCAAGGGTCACAGTCACATAATTTTTGATGAATGGATAGATAGAATAGATAGATAGATAGATAGATAGATAGATAGTATAGATATATAAGATAGATAGAAAAATTGATGGATTGATAGATAGATATGCGCTGAGTGCGAGCGTGCAGGTGGGGGAGGAGCGCGTGAGCCCTGGCAAATCCTGCAAGGTTACGTGACAGACTACTGTATAGTACACGGCTGCCCCTATCGCCAAAAAATACGCTGAAATTGTTCACTTTTGTGATAAAGCATGAAACTTTGCCACAATTACTTCTAACCATGTAACAAACAATTGTTGTGATATGGATCCAAGCTAGGTTAAGAGCTCTGAGCTCGAGATCTGCGCATGTCCTAAAATCGCGGACATGGAACGAGGTCTGAAAAAAAATTTAATTGCCTAAAAACAGCCTTAGAGCTACAAAAATAAACTTGGAACTGATATATTAGCTTCCATATGTGGTATTTCTGTGCTAGAAAATGTTGAGATATGATCACGTGACTTCTTTACAGTTTTTACGAAGCTTCGCTATGGCATACTGTGGTGGATGTCAAACATAGATACTATTAGTGGGGCGGATATGTGTCTGAGGTGTGGCACTTCTGGAAAGAGCATGAAAATTTCCCTAGGGGGTTTTTGAGTATGCGAGTTCAAAAATTGCGGGAACACGATGTCAACTCCCAACGTTGCCGCCCAAAAAATCAACAATTATAAAATGGCCCGGCCGCCCCCCGCCCCGCGGGCCCGCCGGCCTCGCGGCCGCCCGCAGAAAACATGTTTTTCCCCATAAGTCAGCTGTAATGCTCGATTACAATGATCTTGGGTGCCTATAGCGCTATGTTTTGAAGTCAAAGAATGCCAATCAAACGCATGATCAATATATCAGTAGCATATATCTTCGCCCCAAAAAGTTGCAAATTTCAACAAATTGCCGGCGCACAAACGCCAGTTTTGGCCAAAATCAGCTGTAAGTGCCGCCCAAGTACATGATTCTTGGTCTCTATATCACTGTGTTTTTGATGGTCATGCCACCCATAGAAGCGGGTATAGAAACACATGTGCATCTATAAACATCTTCCGCCAAAAAACAAATCCAACAAATGGCTTGGCCACAAACGCATTCTTTGCCATAAATGAGTATACGTGCACGGTTACCAGGATTCTAGGTAATCTATTACCGTTTTTTATTTTTTATGTGCAAGGAACCCGATTGGAAACATGAAAATTATCCTAACATATATCTCAAATTAAACAAATACAATAATAAAATGTTTTAGGTCAAGAATCTGCGTAGAACACGTGAAAAATTATGGATGAAACCTTAAAAGAAATGCATCTATAACTTCAGCTTCATAATTTTCTGTAGCACTTTGCAGGCGCTACACCTGCGTGGCACGCCAAACGTCGTTCCATCATGATTCGCATGAGACAGTGTAAA